CCCCAAAACCCCAAAACCCCAGAAGAAGAATTGGAAATTCACAACAAAAAAATCAAATTAAAAATCAAAGTGGAAACAATAAAAATATTATAAAGCAGAAGAAACAAGTAAAGATCGCACAAGCATAGATTTAAAATAGCAAAGAAGATGTTGTAATGAAAGATGCCACCAAACCTAATGCTACTCTTAAATTAAAGTCAAATAGATAAAAGAATCTATGGATCACTAAAAGCATTAAAAAAGTGAGATAATTCAGAAAACGTCAAAGACTCGTTGCAACTCAATCAACTGTCATAAATGAAACTAAATAGAATGCTAAAAAGCTTTTTAATAGCAATGATAAAAATGAGATCAATTTGCCTGCTCATAAGAAGCCATATGAGTAAATATATATATCAGGAAATGATGTGGATGAAGACATTCACTGTGATGTGTGCTTGGAATTTGAACAAGAGGACGATGATTAGATTATTATTTGTGAACTTTGCAATGTAGCTTGTCATTAGTAATGCTATGGTAGTGAATTACTAGCTGGGCTTACAACTGAATCATGGTATTGTTAAAGATGCAAAACAATCAAGGATAATAATGTGAAATGTGATGATATCAAATGCTTCTTATGTCCTGATATCAAAGGCTTGATGAAGGAAATCAGTAAAGATAAATGGGCTCATGTGATATGTGTTAATTGGAATCCAGATATTTACTTCAATGATGAGAAAGTTGAGGGTGTTAGTGGAGATGTTCAGCCTCAAAGGTTCCAGTTGTCCTGCAATATGTGCAAAGTTAGTGGCTAAGGGGCTTGCATACAATGTGACTTTAAGAGCTGCTCTCGTAGTTATCATGTAAGATGCGCTGTCAAGAGAGGTCTCATAGATCAATGGAGCACTTACGAAGAGAAATATGGAGAAGAAGTATCTTAGCATTTCGTTCCAATCTTTTGCTGTTAACATCAAGACAAAGGAGATAAGTTATTCAAGCAAGAAGGGTAAAAAGGACTGATCTGTAAATAGTTTACTCCTGAGTACCGTGAAAGAATCGCCTAAATTAACAAGGAAAAAGCTAAAAATGCATCTCAAAATAACGCTCAAGCTAAGATTAAGAATAAATTAAAACTCAACCAAAAGGTTATACTCAAAAAGAAATAAAATGGGAGCAAAATCAGAGGCAGGTTGGGTAAGATCACCGATAAAGATTTTAAAATGCTAAGAATTAATGCTAAAAAATCTAATGGAAGAAGAAATCAATTGAATAAACCTTTGGCAAAATCAAAAAGTATTAAGAAGGCCAGAGTAAATTAAGCAAAAAAGAAATAGCAAATATAGGTTGCTTAAAAAACTTAAGTATAAACTGCATAGAGAAATCAATAAAAGAAAAAGGTTACTGAAAGTATCAAACCTTGCATTCAAGAACCAGTTTAAAAACATAATTAGCAAGATTAGCTTCAAACTCTCATAACACAAGCTAGGGTCATGATACCTTAAGAGTATCAAGCTTAATTTGACCAATTCATCTCAGCATTTTAGAGTGTTGGAGTGCCTCAGTCTCAATACTAAGAAGCTTTGAGTAATTTCATGTCCAAGATGCCTCTTATGAATATGAATAATCAGATTCAATCTCAATCATTTATACCAGCTCAAAATCAAATTGAAACATCTGGTTAGGGAAAAAAGATTAAAACTGCTGGTAAAAGGGTAGCTACTAAAGGCAAGGGGAAAGGATAAATCTAAGCAAAGAATTAGGAAAATATAGCTTAGTATAATTAGATTTCAAATCAAGCAGAGCAATTTAATTATTTCCCAGCAGCACTGAGTCAATTTCAACTACCTCAAATGTCAATTGAAAATACCAGATTCGTGAATCCATGCCTCTTTGGCAACGGTGGGCAGGTGATGAAACTCAACTGAATTAACTCATAATAACCTAAATAAAGATTTTAATTTCATAAATATCTTAAAAAATACACTACTGTATAATCAAATTACTCCTTATTTTATAATAACTTACCAAATTAATATTAAAGTGTCAATAAGATTAAATTATTGGGATTCCTACTTATTATTAACTTTAAAATCTCTTTTGAAGTTACAAATCATTTTGCCTTTGTTTGCTCTATTCTTATATAGGCCTATTATCAATTAGCCTGTCTTTGCTTACCCAGAGTATATATGCTGAGTATCAACCTCTTATGTAGAAATATTCAATTATAAATTTGTTAAAAACCAACGCCTCGTTATATTAAACAATATATTTTACGAGCAACTCATATTTAAGAGATTCATAATCCTTTAAGTTTGAAGACATAATCAGAGGTAGATCATAATTAGATTATAAATCCAAGTAAAAACTTTTACTGCTCATTCAATGTCTTTATAAATAGATAATTACAAGGACATATATTTTAATCTTTATTTCATCATTGCATTCAATCACTTCACTTCAAGTTCTATTTTAGAAAACTTCTTAAAATTTGTCTTCGTCCAGTGATTTAAATATTCATCTGCTATACTTTCATATACAAATCATAACTTCAAACAATGCAAAATTTCGTTCAATAATAAGATCAAATACCATCAAACACTCAATGCCAAATATTACCAAACTACGGAAATGCTCAAGTACTAAGCCAATCAGACGACTTTGTAGAAAGATAAGATTACTCTCAAAAGGGTGAAAGCATCCAAGACTTTGCAGTCTTAAGCCAGCAAGTTCATCAATAAGCAGTCTAAATAGACACAGAGATGTAGGACGCAACATCAACAATAACAAAGCAAAGCGGTATTTCATCTATAAGAAGAGTAAAATCGAAATCAAGACTTAGAAACAATTTGTGGGAAAATAAAAGCATCAAGAGAAGTAGATAGATGAAAAAGAGACAGAGAGAAAAATAGAAGCAATAGCAATCTTGTGAAATTCCTCAACAAAATAGAGCATCAGAAACGAATTCTCTTATAGATAAAATTTGCTCGTTAAACATCAATGAAGTCAGCTCTCGACTCAATAGACCTCCAAAGCAGCCAAGATAAAAGAAGCCAAGGGCTTAATGTCCATCAGCTGAAAGAATTTCATTAGATAGAAAGCCAAGAATGGAGAAGCCACTTTACAATCTGACTCAGCTTAGCCAAAATTCAGTCCGATTAAATAGATTCTCAACCTCCTAAGCAACTGTGATTAATCAAGATTATGAACCAATGGAAATTGAAGTAGCCGACTCATTTGACCCAAATAAGCCATATGATAAGATCTATATTACTTAAAATGAAGTAGATGAAGACATTCAATGTGATGTCTGCCTTGAGTATGACTTTGAGGATGATGACTAGATAATTCTGTGTGAATTGTGCAACGCTGCATGCCATCAGTCTTGCTATGGTAGCGAACTGCTCAATGGTTTGACAACAGAGTCATGGTATTGCTAAAGATGCAGAGAACTTAGAGAAAAGCCTGAGATGAGATGCACTGAAATCAAATGCTTCCTTTGTCCCGATGTAGATGGTCTAATGAAGAAAGTCGATCATGAAAAATGGGCTCATTTGATTTGTGTAAATTGGAATCAAGACATTTACTATACTGATTAGTTAAAAGAAGCAATTAGTGGAGAAGTAATGCCCCAAAGATATCATCTTGCTTGCAATAAGTGTAAGGTATCAAACATAGGCGCCTGCATTCAATGTGATTTTAAGAACTGCCCAAGAAGCTATCATGTAAGATGTGCTGTGAGAAGAGGCTTGATACATGAATGGAGTGAATATGAGGAGAGGTATGGAGACCAACTGGATTAGCATTTTGTTCCAATGTTTTGCTGCAATCATTAAGATCAGGGATCCAAAATCTTTAAATAATAGGGCTAGTAAGGCTTAATTAGCAAGCAGTTCACTAAGGAATTCAGAGAAAAGATGGCTCAACTTAATATAGCTAAAAAGAGCAAAAGTTGCAAATCAAAATCTGCATTAAATAAAAAGAAAGTTATTAAGAGCAAATAGGCCTTAGTTAAAAAGGAATCAAATCTGAAATTAAGAACTAAATTAGGAAAGCTTAGAGAAACCGAACTTAAAAGGCTAAGAGCTAATATGAGAGTTAATTTGAAAGCCAAATCTAAAAGTCAAAGGAAGTCAAAGATATTAGCTAAAAGAGCACAGACTAAAAAGATAATTAAAAAGACTAAACAAATATCTAGCTCTAACAAGCAAAAATTATCTAAAATAGCACAAAAGAAGTCATAAAAGATTTAGGGTCCAGTTGGAAAATAAAAGTAATAGCAAAAGCAATAAAAAAGAAATGGTAGATCTTTAGCGAGATCTCAGTCAAAATCTAAAGTTAAACCAACAAAGAATTAAAACCAAAAAAGAAAAAGTTCCTAGTAAAATACTAGAGAGTCAATGGTAGATTAAGCCAGAAATATGGTCCCGCCTCAACTTCAATCTTAGTTTGACTAATTCATCAATATGGTTCAAACTAATATGCCAATGTTGCTAAATCAAAATGGCCTTAATCCTTTCTAAGCCGCTCTTCCCTTGCTAAATATGAATACAATGAATGCAGAAAGAAGAAATATATCAGGAAAAAGATTAGGTTAATAGAACGAAAAAGACATGTTTAACAGTTTCTTGAAAATAAACTCGAAAACTAATGACAACAATAGTAGCAGAATTAATGGAAAATATAGAAGCAAATCAAAAGGCAAGAAAATAGTTGAAGCAACATAGAAATAGTAGAATTTGGGATAAGTTGGTAGCACCTTAGGGTTCAATGCTTTTGGAATGCCGAACATTCAATTAGGGCAATCTCCATTCATGAATACTGGACTACTTGGAAGTGACTTCCAAATTAAGAAACTCAATTGAAGATCTGTTAATTATGAGATATATTAATTTGATCTTAAATCATTAATTATTTATTGTTTACCATTTTTGCTATTATAAATATTTATGGGGTTTTGGGGTTTTGGGG